TCGCAGAAGTAATAAACGGCGCCCTATCGGCTGCATCGAGCAGGGTGTATAGGGGTTTGGATGCTACCGCTCAGGCCTTCCCGTCTTCTTATACCCCTTCTTGCTCTTTTTCATCCCTATCGTCCCGCTCCAAATTTACTTTTCATAACCATTTTCAATCCCCGAAATCTTGGCCCTCTCCCAGCTTGCTTCAATAGTCGCTTGTCTTCTAATTTTAACTCACACATTGTCGCACGGTCGAAAAGTCCATGTTCAACCAAGCGGACAACGTCAGCTCATCCGTTTCCCTTTGGAGTCCTCGCGTATCGCTAAGACTGGCATGCCTCAACGTGCGCAGCTTGTTACAGGTTGGCCAACAGGCAGCACTTGCCCGCACACTAGAGACCCTATCGATCGATATTCCCTGTTTATCAGAAACGCCTGCGAGATTCGAGCTGCCTTCTTACCCCCACATGCGACACTGGCAGCACATTCTCATTGCGCCTGTCCGGCGATGATGAAGCTTCATATGCCGGTCAAGCTGGTGTCGGCATTGTTTTGAGTCTCCGGGCTGAAGCTGCCCTGATTGATTGGATCCCAGTGAACAATAGGATGTGCGCCGTTAGATTAGCTGGTTTGTTCCGTGCTACTAAGTCGCGCGGAGACAAACGGTGCCTGTGTGTCATTGCGGCCTACGCCCCTACAAACCGTAGCACTGATTCGGTGAAAGATGATTTCTATCAGCAACTTCACGAGCTCCTTCGTTACAGAAGAAGCACGGATACTGTGGTGTTGGCTGGCGACCTAAACGCCCAAGTCGGAAAATTGTCCTCTGATGAGCTTCATCTGGGCGGCCAACATGGTGTAGGCTCCCATAATGATAATGGTGAGTGATTGCTACAGCTATGCGAATATGCTCCCCTCTTTCTCGCGAGCACTAACTTTCGACACAGCATCCGCAGAAGCGTGACTTGGCGGCCACCAGCCTCGGGCCAGCCATGGACGCAAATCTATCATATCGCGAACAGTTACCGCTGGAGAGGCTGTGTCCAAAACTGTTGCTCGATTTGGAGCACGAGCGTGGACTCTGACCATGCATTTGTCTGTGCCGACCTCCGGGTGCGTTTCGGTGAACGTCCGCAACGTCGATGTAAACGGATTGACACCAGCCAGCTGACGAAACCAGATGTGTATCAAAGTGCGCTGACCTCTGGGCTGAGTAAGCGCCCACTAAACACCGTCGAAGATCACTGGTCGCATACTCGTCAAACGTTGCTGTTAGCAGGCATGTCTTAATGTGGCAAAGCAAATTGCCAAACCGGACATTGGGTCTCTACACAGTCTCTGGAAATTATGGATGCTCGCCGACGTATTCAGCCTAGAAGGGAATACAGTGAGGCTCACAAAAATCTCAGGGCAAAACTACGTGCTAGCCTGAAGAAAGACCGCGAAACCTGGTTGTCTCGACGTTCCTCTTAAATGGAAACAGCCTCTGCCGTTGGCAATTATCGTATGTTATTCCGTCTGATACGGGAAACAGGCAACAGGAGACCTGGTGTTAGCGAGACTATACGCGACCAGAGTAGGCACCCCATCCACAGCCTGTCAAAATGCTTGGAGCGTTGGGCTAAACACTTTGCAAGGCAATTTAACCAACCTGAGTTATTGCTTTCTTCTTCGGGCATTGAGCGCCCTTCTCCATTAGCCGTCTCCTTGGATCCGCCCTCACGCGCAGAAGTCGAACGTGAGATTAGGCTGCTGAAATTGCATAAGGCCGCAGGAGCGGATAGAATTCCCCCAACCCTCTTCCAATTCGGGGAAGCTACTCTAACAGATGATTTACACGAGTTGCTAGTGAAACTTTAGGAGCAAGAGACTGTGCCGACAGACTGGAACCGCTCCGTCATTGTCCCAATTTTCAAGGGAAACTCCCGTTTGGAATGCGGTTATCATATAAGGATCAGTCTGATTTCGATCGCCTCTAAATTGCTTGCCTCTGTCATTCTCCACAGACTGACTGGCACTCGCGAAAGCCAGATTCGTGAAGAGCAGGCCGGATTTCCTCGAGGTCGGGGCTGCATCAACCACATCTTCACCTTGTGTCAATTATTGGAGCACCACCATGTTTATTGGCGACCCATCGTTGTCGTGCTTCTTGACATAAAAGGTGCCTTCGACTCAGTCGATCGATGTGCCCTTTGGGACTGTCTGCTGAAGAAAGGTGTGCCTGATAAATATTTAAACATTATCAAAGCGCTGTACGCACATAGTTCGGGCTGAGTGAGGGTTTATGGCAAACTGTCGCCACCCTTGAGTATCAACAGCGATGTGAGACAAGGATGCCCGCTGCCACCTTTCCTCTTTAACTTCGCTATTGATGAAGTCATGGAAACAGCGTTCGCTGGACACGACCTAGAAGGTGTGGAGCTACTTCCTGGTGAGCGACTTCTTGACTTGGAGTATGCGGATGATGTTGCCCTAATCTGTGACAGATCCCAAACATGCCAAGCTGCACTGGACCGATTAGCATTGGCTGTCAATCGTTTTGGGCTATGCTCTGCTCCATCGAATTGCAAAGTACATCTCCAAGATTGGCAGGGACCCAACCCTATGATAACGCTTGGTGGTGACCTGCTAGAAGTCGTTCAGGAATTTAAGTACCTGGGCAGCTATATTAGCACCCGTGGGGTTGAAGATGAGGTTACGAACCGTGTAACAAATGCTCAAGGTGCTTTTGCTAACCTCCGCCACGTGTGGCGCAGACGCGACATTACTCTCGCCCTGAAGGGCAGAGTTTATAACGCAGTCGTCCGTTCAACTCTCCTATAGAGTTGTGAAACCTGGCCCATCAGGTCGACAGACATAAAGAGGCTCGTCATATTCGATCATCGCTGCCTTCGCAGCTTAGCTCATGTCTGGTGGGAGCACCGCATGAGCGATGAGGGTGTTCGACGTCGCGTATTTGGTGCAGGAAGAGCGAGTGAACCGCTCAGCACCATTATATCACGCACCAGGTTCCGATGACTGGGCCACGTGTTGCGCATGCCAGTACACCAACTTCCGCGACGTGCATTGTTTGAGCGCCCGGGATGCGGTTGGAAGAGGAGGAGGGGAGGCCAAGCGATGACTTGGTCAAGAGATGAAAACCCTCACTTCGAATTTGGCGTCGGTTGGTGCATCCCGACTGCCTGGCTGGGGTCCTAAGGACGATGAACACGTTTGGTTGGACACACTTGCTGATATGGCTTGGAGCCGGCCCCAATTGCGTTTGTGTTGTAAGTTCCTTTGTTCATCCCCCTAAAATCACGATCTCCCTCGTTAGGCATAATAGGACTCTCTTTTTACGGTACGATAGCCAGCTGTTGGCTCTCCGGAACGATGTCCATCCGTTACTGGGGACTCAGTGGGCGCGCTACTGTTTGTTTTCCTTTTCTTGTCTTTTGGATTGCGGCACAATAGCTGAGGTGTTTTCCACCTGCAGCTAACGTGTATAATGATGATGATTAACTGATGTATTAACTGTGAACATAGAGGCAGATGGAGAAGGCCTGCACAGCTAATACTCGCAAAAACTTTACGCACCTGATTTAATGATGCTCACAATGTGTCCTTTTTTGTAGATTCCGAACAGCACAACAACATGTCGAAGTTCGTGCGCAGATGCATGATTCCACTGCCGCCGTGATTTTCAGCTCGGATTAAAAGCCGTAGTGCTTTAAAGGGTCATCCAACACTATCTGCACCGCCGAGAATCCCACATGCATGTGAGCCCGGCACTTGGCTATCAATGCCCGTCGGCTGTACGGATCAACGGGAGCGGCCTCTCAGCCCGATTGGCGGCTCCACTTTCGAGTGAACTACGCAGGTCAAGACGGATACCAGCTTGCATGAGGCAACTTCCGGGATGAGAAAAATGCTGCTGTGACTCGCTGCCCTGAACTTATCTTATTCGGTGGAACCGCATCCAATGCTGATTGGTCGTTGAGCTGATACGTGGACTTGCGTTTCGTTTTAATCGGTTGTATGTTCAACATTTACCTCTTACAATATACGTCTGTCGCATCTTCGTTTTTCTGGCACATCACACGCCCTGATCAATAAGGTGCAAAAGTGCCAACCCACTTACGATTAGCCATGGTTGCAGGTGCTTAATGAGCAGAAAAACACGACTGGCCCTAATTTGCAAGGACTGTGTCTAACAGGCAGACCCTAGCAAGTCTCCGCATTGATAACCAATGCTGAACCAGCTACCAAAGGACCAGTAGGTTAAGCTATCGGGTCAAAAGTTAAAGATAGATCGTTGCAAACAAAACACCGAACTCAGAGTAGGTAGCTGTAGTGTGCCTTCTGTTCACAAGACTCCATGAATAATACTTGTTCTTCTTGCTGTCTTTCCCCTTCAACCCCTTTCTTTCTCGATTGATGTGCAACAAACTACCGCGAACTACTCTACCGACGCTAGCGATGCGCCCAACCCATCCTTTATACCAACGGCTTCATATTTCGTGCTAATGTCATGACCATTGTTTGGTTTGCCATTTCTACTGTCGATGTGAGTTAGCGCAACTGGATGGACTGCACTTCGGCGCATGAATCATGTAGGCTCCAACAGCGGATTCATCCGCGCGGAATACCATCCACATCCAGAGATTTGGAGCCAGGTTCTTATATCGGTGAATATCCTCCGCCAATGCTCAACGAACCGGCCGGTGGTCTGCGTACATGGTTTGCAAGCATAGTCACCTGTTCGAACCCGCGTAGGGGTATGCGTCCTCGTGGTATACTCAGCCCACGCGCGGCCGGTGGTGATCGCGTGGCAACGAAGCGCAGTTACGGCGTACAGCCGGCGATAAAAAAACCTTAGTGAGTTCGTCAGATCACACGCTCCGTGATTATTTGCATCAGTAGTGCCATTTAACGAATGATAACTTCGGAGTGAAACACATCCGATAACGTCTTTGCTATACACCTGCCAAAATTTGACCAAACAATGTTTATGCTCAATGTTCCTTGCATTTCAGACGTCTCGACCCGTCGGCTACTATGTCCATGACTCGAACACCTTTTACACGCTTGTTACAATCTGACGGCAAAAAGGACCAGTGATGCTTGATGAACGAATCAGCCAGTGGCTGACTGAGATCCGCGTATTAGATGGAGGCTTCGGTAGCGAGTGCCAGAAGCGTTCCAAACTGTTGATTGACGGTCACAAAGCGTGGAGTTCCCGGCTGATCAAAGAGGACCCTAACCTCGTCTGCGATATACACAAGAGGTGACGCTCTTATTTTTACTTTTGATGTTATTGAACTATGTCGAGACTCTACATCATACGCATCCAAAGTGTTGGTCTCTCAATGATTACAGATATTCCTTAGTTTGGCTTTTATGTAAAGTGCGCATATTTTTTACTATTTTTTCTTTACCGTTTTAGCTTTCTGCGGGCCGGTTGTGATGTGATCACAACAAACACCTACCAAGCGGCCCCGCGAACCCTAGCAGAGGCTATGGATGTGAGTACGGCCGAAGCCAAGGAGCTGATGCATCACGCCGTTCGACTGGCACGCCGCGCAATTGCAGCAGTGAACGAGGAGGATGTAGCAGCTGTGTCCACAGTGGGAGAACCGACAGTAACGCGTCGACTCCCTGTTCTGGTCGCCGGTTCTCTAGGGTCCTACGGTGCTTGCATGGCTGACGGGTCCGAGTATACCGGCAGTTATGTGGAGAAAATGTCCATGATGGAGTTGGTCGACTTTCACTTGACTCGAGCTGAAACGCTTCTGCGTGCCGGTGTGGATCTGCTGGCTTGGGAGACGATCCCCGCGGTAACCGAAGTGTCGGCCATCTGCGAAGTTATGAGGCAGTTACCTGGCGCTGTAGGCTGGCTTTCTGTTGCCTCCACAGACGGGCAAACCACTGTGTCGGGCGATCCGTTGTACCAAGTTGCTGCAGAAGTTCAAAAATGTGACCAGGTGAGGTGTAACAACGTGCGCACACCTTAAGGTGCGGTATCTGACTGTCCAAGATGTCTGAATCCACCGTTTGCATACAGAAAACTACTTAAGGCGCTACGTGATATCCTGATGATTGGCTGCTAATTGAGAGAAAGACATGAGTGGCACATCGCAATGTAGGTGCAGCGGTTTCTTCTGAACATGTTGGGAATCATTGCGAAGTGCGATAGAAAAGGTCGCAAGAAGATTGTCTCGACGATATATGTTTAATTCCACATGGTAGACAGCAGTCCGTAACAGTGTGGAGTTCGCGAGATGAACGTGCATTGCTCTTGAATGTTTATCTAATGTCATGAGGTTTTCATAAAGCTCGCCATCGCTTTTGTTTCTAACACCAGCCGGTGACGAGTAGGTCAGGCGTCTAGTTCGTAATTCAAAGGTCGAGCAGTATAATGATTGTAGAAGGTCTTGAATACAATTCGGTTTTGTAGAGATTTTCCTTATGGCAGTATACCTCACCTGCTGAGGCTGATGTTGCATTCATGATGCTTCTTCACTGCATTTGGGCTAAACCAACTTGCACTTAAATTAGGTCTTTTTAAGCTGGATAAATTTCATTACACTTCATTTAATTTGTTCTGCCTACCGGAATAATCTTCCATTAACTTTCCACGTTACTTACGGTAATTGTGCTTACCTTCGTTAACTTTACTGCGTTAGTAATATTTTCTGAGTTACCTCTGGACATTTTGTACTTATCGCGGATTCGTTGCTAAGCAACATATTTCATATGCTAATTTAAGGAAGAGTTATATCTGCATAGCCGTATTCTTTAACAGATATATTTTATTTGAGAATGTCATTTCAAGTGGTTGGCTGTTGTTTGACATCCCCGGTGTGGCTGCGCTTGATGTGCATGTTGACAAGGTGCCTACCTGTCTATCACCCGGTACCTCGTCCATACTGACTCCAGGAGACAGTTGATCGTTGCTGGAGGGGACGGGGTGCACGGTCCCTGTGGCCGTGCTAGGCTCAAAGAGTGGTTCCATGCACTCAGTGTGGAGCGGACTACGGTCCAGCCACCGCCTTGTGTGCGCTTGATTCCCCAAATACAGCGTGCTTGTGTTTCCCTGTGAAGGAGTGTGGGCCGGCTTCGTTGATGTAACGTGGTTCCCATCCGCATGCCTCCCGGTCTTATTCCTTCGGGTTTACACTGGATATGGGGTGTGTGTGGATGGAGCTGTGGGTGGTGCAGCGCAAGCCACCCATGGTCCCTCTGTAGGCGCAGGCGTCCTGTGGCTTGCCACAGTGACAGGCAAATCCGAAACCGGATGCCGCCAACCATGTATGATGATCACCCTGTGCCCCTTGCTGAGGCGGATGTTGCATTCATGATGCTTGTTCACCGCAGTTAAGCTAAACCAACTTACGCTTAAATAGGTTTTTTTAAGCTGGCTAGATTTCATTCCACTTTATTTGGTTTGTTCTGCCTACCTGAATAATGTTCTATTAACTGGCCACGTTGCTTACGCTAATTGCGCTTATCTTCGGTAATTTTGTTGCGTTTGTAGCATTTTAAGTAACTTGTGGACATATTTTCCGCATCGTGGATTCGTTACTAACCAGCTTACTTCATATGCTAATTTAGGGTAGAGTTATGTCTGCATAGCCGTATTCTTTAACAGATATATTTTATTTCATGTCATTTCACACCGAATGCCGCCAATCATGTAATCTCGACAGTCTAGCAACTAGACATAGAGCCAACAAAGTGATGGAGACAAGCAAATAAGTGGAAGTCAATGCGTCTTAGTCATCGTGACATATTAGTTGAAGGTGAGCAACACAATTTAGGTACTATGCCGCAGAAAGAATGGAATATTTTGACAAAAATTAGAATGAAACATTTTAGTTTGTTTTTAACACGCCCATTTTTCTTTTTTTGTCATTTCCAATGTTTTAAACATGTGATTCAATACAATTCTGTACACAATTCTTCCACTAATTCCGGTTGCGGCCTATGTCTTCAACAGTGTTAAACCATTGGCACTCCTCTAGCTGCTGTTGGACCCCGTACCTCTTCCAGGATGGGGACGCAAAGATGCGAATGATATATCGATGATAAGATTTTCAGTTTCACTTCCCTACACGGGATTTGAAATCACTACCATTTTCCCGATCGGTAGCATTAGTTTGTTTCGTTCTTCGGCCCGTGGTCCTAAGGACCGCAAACCCGTCTAGTAATCCGAGGGCGCGGATTCGAGTGTTGGGCTACCCTCGCAATATGCTTAGCCCATGTGTGACTGATGGTGGTTGCGCGGCAGTAAAGCGTCGGTACTGCGTACCGGCGTACTGCTTATGTCATTTATCTTTTAACACCAAAGATAGCATAGCAAGCCGATAATCTGATTAATTCACCGTCACTTTGCCACCGCGAAAGCATGCAATAGTTATGTGTCTGGTTTCTGAAAAAATGTATTATCACCTTTCTTTTGCTTCCGGCAGATATTCGCCGTGGGGGTGAATTGCAACATTGAATTTGAATGCATCGGTCAGGCGTTGGCGAACCTCAACATTGGACCGGAATGCTGCAGCCCGGGAACCGATGATGGCTACCACCCACCACCAAACTGTGGCGCGAACGCATCGGACGCAGTCGAAACAAAACAGAACAAAAAAATACTCATTCTATATCCAAATAGTGGTGAATTGTGGATACCTCTCCCGGCGCGTTCAAAGAAAGGATTAAGTCGCTGGGTGTGGCCCAAAGGTCGGGGTCCGAGCACATGGATCAAGGAGATAACCAAGTGGGCCATGCGCCGGGGAGAGGCCCTAGAAACATCCCCCTGTGCCCCATACCCTCGGGCGCAGTGGGTTGGGGGTTGCTGTCGTGTGAGTCCGGAGCAAGTGAAGCAACTTGCCGAGTGGATGAAACCGGATGAATTTGTGCACTTTGGCATGAACGACGCTGAACACGCGGAAACTCAGATCGATGAACCGCGGCAGCAGAATAATGGCATGAAAAGAGGAATTTCAAAGGATCGACAGAGAAGACAAAATTCCCATCGAAGTGCCAAAAAACTGAGGCACTAATCGTAGCATGATGACAGAACTATGTAGGGGTTAATGAAATATTTATTTGAAAGCAAAAATATCGAACACTATACATACAGATGTTAAGAAAGACAGCGTATGTCTATAGTTTTATACACCCCCTCAGCAAGCACCAATCTTTCATTTCCGACTGACTGGTTGGCCTGGGGTATAAATGCGTGCCGTCATGGTAAGCGAATCTGAGATGAATTGGTTAAGGTGATAGCGTCTCGTAAAAATCAACAAAATAAAGTTCGAAGCACCACATTTGCACTCATCAGTTCGCCGTTTTTATTTGTAATGGACAGCGGTTGTCTAAACAGTTTCTCGGAGATGAGTGAGGCGGCCATGGTTACCTGACTTATCCACATACACATTTGGAGTTCCACTACACTCCTACAGCTCGGAGCCGGTGGTCCCAAAGCCCGGTCAACAGAATAGGACCAGACAACCACCACACGTCCAGGAAAACACTAGACGGCCGTTTCGTCCTATTGGGACTCGTCAGTAGCGCGCACCTGCCGAGTCCTGCGGGATTTGAACCAACGACCTTACTCTTGCGAGTCAGCGACTTATGTCACTGAGCCATGGACAACGGCAGCGGACCGCCATGACTGATATCTAACTGCGATATAGCGTATAACTTGCAAAACAGTGGAGGATGAGCCGTGCTATATCGCAGTTAGATATCAGTCATGGCGGTCCGCTGCCGTTGTCTATGGCTCAATGACATAAGTCGCTGACTCGCAAGAGTAAGGTCGTGGGTTCGATACCGGCAGGATTCGGCGGGTGCGCGCTGCTGACGAGTCCCAATAGGACGAAGCGGCCGTCTAGCGCTTTTCTGGATGTGTGGTGGCTGTCTGCCTGTGTCTAACTGCGACGAACGTACACAAAACCTATTAAATCCCCCTACAACTTACAAAGAATAGAACCATGTGGTTTATAAACGCGTATAGACACTTCACAACAACGCAACCGTAAGCGGTCATACCGAACTGAGATGCTGTAGGAGTTCCCAAATCCGTCCACGAGTGGGAATCAAATTCCGTAACCATTTAGCTCAGCTGAACAACTATGATCTGAGCGCGGAAGTGCGGTAGATCCATTTGCCACGACACATAGCCAAAATATCAATAAGTGACAACGGTAAAAAATGAGGTTGAATGCAGATAAAATTCGGAGAAAATGGGTGTAAGGAACAAATACGCAAACTTAACCGAGATGGAACAAAAAAATACCATCTGAGTGCAAAAAATGTATGCAAGTACGCCACTGACTGCGCCATGTCTGCTAGAATCTGTAACCATCCACGAAGACGGAACATATCACAGTGACCAACTTTCTCAGTTAATTTCTTCATGGACTGGCCACCCCGCGGTTTCACTCAATTTGGTGCAGCCACGGCGTACAATGCACACCGAGGAAGCCGAGCAACATGCATATAGGGAATATGGCCTAACCAACGTAAGCGACTTCGATTCGGTAAACACTCGAGTGAGACACCAGAAGGCTTTTTTTTATCAAAAACCAACTGGCGGACCTCAGCATCGCTCACCCACTATTCCCAGTAGATGTGAGCAATACTCCACAAGCACCGGTGATCAAAGACGGCCAAAGGTTTAGTGTCTTCGCTGCGAGCTGCCCAGGTCACTAATCTACACAGTAACACCGACCTTATCGTAGTGTTATACACCCAAACTTTCTCCATGGATGGATGACCCTCTGAAAAGTCTGAAGGACCTCGCTGAGACGCGAAGTAACTTCCTCAATGATGTTGCCATTAGAGATGACGTAGCTACAAAGTGAATCGATCCACCACTTCAAGTATCTGTTCTTTGATAGCTAAGACTGACGGCGTATCGATCTAGCCCTACAGTAGTACTTTGGAGACGCAAAGCATATGCCGAAACGACCAGCGGTACGCAACTTTCTATTCAATAACGCTTGTATAGCCACTGCGTCAGACCCAAAAAGAGGCATTTCCTCTACATACTCCAGGTTTGTCAGGCGCTCACCAGGAAGAACTTCCACTCCGGTAGTCTGAGAGAACCGAGACAATAATGATCATTTTGATCACCAAGTCGAAGTGGAAAGGAGATATAGGACAACTCTGGCGAACCCCACTTGTCATGGGGAACTCAGGAGACAGTTTTCCGCAGACCCCTACACGGCCTCGAGAGTCACGGCAGAAATTTCAGAAAGAAGTTTAGCTGGCACGTAATGCACGGATAGACAGCGCCACAAGCTGGTTCGATCAATGGAGTCGAAGGTAACTTACAAATCATGGAAAACCACCATAGTAGGTCATCCGTGTGTCTCTGCTCAAACATTTGACGAAGGATAAATATGGGGTCCCAGCAGCCACCACCAGCGCGGAAAACAACCTGGTTTCCAGTGATTCGGTTCTTACGAGGACCAGTAAATTTTCAAAAAAATTTGAAGGTAATAGAAATAATGCTAATGCCTTGATACTTTTCGCAGTCTATTGACTGAAGACGTCCCATTGTCCCAAATTGTTTTGATTGGTGAAACAAGTCCAGCCAAAAAACAGTCACCACTGTCTTTCAGCAAGGATGGTGTTAGGTCGTCGAGTCCAGGAGGCTTGTTTTGTTCCAACAATGCGAGGTCATGGTGAATCTCTTCTGATGTGGGTGTAAAATCAACTTCCCACGCCAGCACAGGTAATTTAGCGAACAGCACTGTTGCATCAGGTCTGACTAGCTGCTCTCCACAACTGAACAGTTCTTGCCTACAATTCCACATCCAACCAATGGCTCTGTTTACGTTCAGTGTTTTATGAGTAAACATGCTCACGATAGTTATGGTAATGAAATGACAATAGACTTCTGAACCCAAATGCCTTAATACGTATCCTATGGTTCATTAGGCATTTTAAGGTGCTTTAAAGATGAACAATGCGAAGATCCAAAGGAAAAAGGATACGGTAGTCGCATTACCCAGAGAAATCCATTGTCAAGTGACACAAACCCTGGAGTCTGCCGTCCTCGAGCACCAGCGGAAGCGGATGACCTGAACAGGGGTTTTCGATATGCAAGTTTCTTGTTGTCTGTGAAGCCGATACTCTCATCGTCTTCGTCGTCGTCGCTTGCAGTACCTTCATTATCCGTGTCTGAGGGGGCCTCCGTCAGTCCCTCCTCACACTGGTCCAATGTGTGACCGAGATGAAACACGGGGGTTGATTTGGCTGGTCCAGGTCGAACACGAGGTTGGAAACGGACGCGAATGGGAGCAGCGGGGATGGCTAGATAAATACGCATCAGTTGGGCCCAAATTGGTGCGCGCTCGGCGGTGGTGCCAGTGGCAGATGCTCCGGTATGCCAGTCAGTCAACACGTCTCTCTTGGGAGGCGCAGCATCTGATCGTTTAGGGAACAAAGGGGTTGATTGGGAACTCTGACAGCGGCAGGGCATGAATAGGGGCAAGTTGCGCGTTAGCAGCCCATGGACAGCTCGCCGCACTTGACTGCTTTGCATTGGACCGTCCATTGGTCGGTCGGGACCAGCTAAGAAGAATCGGTGTCCCAGCGGACACTCCATTTCGAACCCAATGAAAAGCTTGACGGTATCGGAATCTGAAAGGTAAAATTGAGTAGAGTGATGTATCCGGTAAACATCTAACGGAATGGGTACTGTTACGATTGCAGCTTCATCGCGATCGGAACACCGTTTGTTGATAATGCGATCAAACGACTGTGTTCTTCATTTATCAAACACAAAACATGTATAAACCGTCCACCTGTATGTTTGTGCCAACTAAGATTGATGTGACAAGCGAAGCGACTGCACTTCCCAAAAGTTGGAAAAAAGTTGAACGCGATTTGACCAGTGTGTGGCGGAACCATCGGATCTAGCTGAGGCCCATGTGTGATACGGTGTCACTCGCAAGCTGACTTGTAAAATCGCAAGGATGCGCGCGAATGGAACAACTGACGCTGAAAACATTTTTTAACAACACAGAATGGAGATTCGGGTATCGATCGATCTGAGGTAAATTATGGGCTGAAACGAGTAGTTGGACAGGGTGAGTAACGATATTTCATGGTTGGTTACCGCTCTTCAGCCGAAATCACAGGCTATTTTAGTGTTTGAGTGCTAGCACAACAGCATTCCAGTGAAGGTGAAACCATCTCGAATTAAAGCTACATCGAGCACAGAAATTGCGAAGCACCAACGAGTTCTACAATAATTCAGCGACAGTGTGGAGTCTGTTCGGTTGAGAGTCTGCTGTTCGTAGGGAGCACTTCAGAACACTCTCGCCAATGTAACAGGATGTGAAAAATCGAGAGTGCGGCGCAGGTGCGATACTTTCGAATGTAATAGTTTACTGACCTCCGGATTACATTGTAAACGAGTAACCCAATTGGCCCCCGGACGACACTGATTAGAACGGCAAAAAGTGGTAATGTGGGCACGTACAGCGAACTATTTCGGCACTAGTACCTCACCCTGTGACTAAAGTGCCCTAGTGGCTGCTTACGGGAATCTAATTTCAAGTTGACAAAGACCGTTCATTCTGTAGCTTCTATTCAGAATTGCTCCGCTAAGTCTGTCGGAGGGGGAATCGGCTCTGCCTATAACCCCATTAAAGTGCGAGACGTTCCGCGTAATAGATTTGATTCATACAAAAATATTCCCTTGAGGGCAGCGTCTCAATGAAAATCGACAATGAAATCCCGTTCATGTTGTTAGAAGTGATCCGATCGAGGTGAACTGGCGGCAAAAACACATTTGATGAATGAGCGCTACCGATCTGTGAATCGGAATCGGTTTAGAGCTAGCTAAGCATGATAGGGGAAGCAGTGGGCCCCCAAGTTTCCAACAGTGAAGTGATGCCTTCGGCGTGCAACCAGTTTAATTCAATTAAGCAGCTAAAATCTGGGGACTGGCGTGCGATGTATCTGGTTGACGTGGCTTTCGCATTACCACATTTCGCATTACAAATGACAGTGATGAGAGAGGAGAGTGGAGTATGTAGCGGAAATAGGCACAAAGGATCGGATGGGGTGACCGCACTCGCTACGCGGTCGCGCCACGTCGGATAGCGTCTCCACAGTCGAACAGATGGCTGATTATAAGGCCCGTACTCCGCAAAATGCCAAGTGTCATCTTGACCAAGCATCTTTGTCCAAATATGGCGGATGTGACTCGTCATTGCGGACGAGAGGGCTGGGGCCCCTGCTATGGCTTTTAGCCGTCCATAAAGCGTATGAACAGAGCGATCGGTCTCCGGGTGCGAGTCCCTCATATCGTCCCGCAGTCTTGTAGGTTAGGCATAATGTTCAAAGGCTCGGGGTGCCGGTTCCTAAAGAAGCGCACTGTTTCCGCCCAAGGAACCTGGTAGTATTTGGCTTACGGAGGAATCATGGACGTGCACTACACTCGCTCGCTATGCTAATGACGTGCCCTTCCACTACAGCTACTATGACATTTCAATCACATGCCACCTCTATTTATTTACAATTCCCCAGCCATCATCCTCCCACGACATCATCTGACTCCTCATCGAAAAACAGCATCGTACTCTCGGATGATTGCAATCAGTAGAGTGTCAATGCTGATTTAACATTGTTTTGCCATCCAAATTTCAATTTTAAACGAAAAGTAAAAAAAGAAGGAAAAAATACATCATTTTCCTTTGCTTGCTGAAAAATGTTTCTGACATTCTATTACAGTCATGATTCTGATGACATCTTTTTCTGATATATATATATATATATATATATATATATATATATATATATATATACTGGTTTCCCCACATGCCGCTTCCCAATACTCAGCTAACCATACAATAGTTGTTTCGGTATCCGCCTCGAATCCATACGGCTCACATGATCAAGCCACCTCAAGTGACTCAGCAAAAGTATGCAGTCCACTGCATATATCCCACTTTGTCGCAACACTTCCGTGTCAGCAACTCTGTCGCCCTAACCGAAGCGTAGAATCGGTCGCAAACACTACTGATGGAATCGCTCGAGATATCGCACATCCTACCGGTAAATTGTCCACATTTCACAGATGTGTAGAAGAACGGACAGCACCATGGATTTGTACACCATCAGCTTCGTGCCAATAGTAAGTTGATGGTTGTTGCACACTCGGTACTCAAGCTTCCCGAATGCCTTCGACACGCAGATACGAAGCTCATTGTGTAGCTGCTGATCAGTCGACATCACACTTCCAAGGTAGCAGAAGCGGCAGGTAGTTTCCAATACTTCAGCACCAATGCTGATTCGCGGCAATACTGAAGATTGCACCTCCAGCGAAGGCTGAAAGACATAGAAAGTCTTCCTTGTGTTGATGGTGAGCCCGGATTTGGCCGCTGTCGAAGCCAGAGCACTAGTCATGTGCTGCAACTCATCAGCGCTGTGTGCAAACAACGCACAGTCGTCAGCAAACAGCAGCATACGGATAGTTATCTCACAGACTAGAGTGCTCGCACCGAAATGACGGATGTTCAGCAACCCACCATCAATACGGTGCTCCACACGAACACCGTCATCATCATGATACATGTTAGCTGGAGGTGGAAAACACCTCAGCTATTGTGCCGCAATCCAAAAGACAAGAAAAGGAAAACAAACAGTAGCGCGCCCACTGAGTCCCCAGTAACGGATGGACATCGTTCCGGAGAGCTAACAGCTGGCTATCGTGCTGTGAAAAGAGAGTCATATTATCCCTAACAAGTAAGATCGTGATTGGATGGGGAGGCTAAGCAGGATCGGATGGACAAAGGAACTCACAACACAAACGCCATTGGGGCCGGCTCCAAGCCATATCAGCAAGTGTGTCCAACCAAACGTGTTCACCGTTTTTAGGACCCCAGCCAGGCAATCGGGATGCATCAAGCGACGTCAACTTCGAAGTGAGGGTTTTCATTTCTCTCGACCAAGTCATCGCCTGGCCTCCCCTCCTCCTCTTCCAACAGCAGCCACAAAGCGCAAACAATGCACGTCGCGGAAGTCGGTGTGCTGGCCTACGCAACACGTGGCCCAACTATTGGAGCCTGGTGCGTGATATAATGGTGCTGAACGATTCACTCGCTCTTCCTGCACCAAATACGCGACGCCGAACACGCTCATTGCTCACGCGGTGCTCCCACCAGACATGAGCTAAGCTGCGAAGGCAGCGATGATCGAATATGACGAGCCTCTGTATGTCTGTCGACCTGATGGGCCAGGTTTCACAACCATATAGATGAGTTGAACGGACGGCTGCGTTATAAACTCTGCCCTTCAGGGAGAGAGTAAAATCGCATCTGGGCCACACGCGGAGGATATTGGCAAAAGCACCTCGAGCTTTTGCTACACGGTTCGTAACCTCATCTTCAATCCCACGGGTGCTAATATAGGTGTCCAGGTAACAGAATTCCTGAACAAGTTCTAGCATATCACCACCAAGCGTTATCATAGGGTTGGGTCCCTGCCAATCTTGGAGAAGTACTTTGCAATTCGATGGAGTAAAGTATAGACCAAAACGATTGACAGCCAGTGCTAATCGGTCCAGTGCAGCTTGGCATGTTTGGGAGCTGTCACAGATAAGGGCAATATCATCCGCATACTCCAAGTCAAGAAGTCGCTCACCAGGAAGTAGCTGCACACCTTCTAAGTCGTGTCCTGTAAACGCGATTTCCATGACTTCATCAATAGCGAAGTTAAAGAGGAAAGTTGACAGCGGGCAACCTTGTCTTACACCGCTGGTGATACTGAAGGGTGGCGACAGTTTGCCATAAACCCTCACCCTGCCCGAACTAGGCACGTACAGCGCTTTGATAATGTTTACATATTTATTAGGCACACCTTTCCTCAGCAGACAGTCCCAAAGGGCACATCGATCGACTGAGTCGAAGGCACCTTTTATGTCAAGAAACACGACAACGGTGCGTCGCCAATAAACATGGTGGTGCTCCAATAATTGACGTAAGGTGAAGATGTGGTTGATGCAGCCCCGACCTCGAGGAAATCCGGCTCGCTCTTCACGAATCTGGCTTTCGCGAGTGCCAGTCAGTCTGTGGAGAATGACAGAGGCAAGCAATTTAGAGGCAATCGAAATCAGACTGATCCCTCTATGATTGCCGCATTCTAAACGGGAGTTTCCCTTGAAAATTGGGACAATGACGGAGCGGTTCCAGTCTGTCGGGACAGTCTCTTGCTCCCAAACTTTCACTAGCAACTCGTGTAAATCACCTATTAGAGCAGGTCGCCCGAATTTGAAGAGGGCTGGTGTTATTCTATCTGCCCCTGCGGCCTTACGCAATTTCAACAGCCTGACACGAATACCGTATATATATATATATATATATATATATATATATATATATATATATATATATATATATGCTTTGGATGATTGCGCATGCTTTGGGCGCTCAAACGTAGCTTCGGCACATGGTCTGAAGAGGTTGCCACCCGCCTGTTCTCTTCTATCATTAGACCAATGCTAGAGTAGGTTCGCCCGCCTACTTTCCGATTACCCGAGGCGAGGCACAAAGGATCGAACGGGTCCAACACGTTGCTACCAGGCTTATCCCGAGTTTACGTGGCATTGGGTATGAAGACCGGTGCGAGAAACT